CATTCTGCCTAAATCATCCTTGATTGTAGCAACTCGAGGTTTGAATTTGCTCTTCAGTTCCTTGAGCTTAAGAAATGATGAATGAGTTCGGCCCTTTTGATTTTCCAACTCTAGCTCCTCGCACATTTCATTGTAGTATTTTGCTTTGTCATTCCGTGCTGCCTTTTGGAATCTTCTATTCAGCTCTTTACTCCTACTGTTAGCATGTGTTTTTTTTTTCACGAGAAAAATAAGCAAACACCAAAAGGAGATTGACAGAAAACTAAATTTCCTAAATAAAAATAATTCTCTTCTCAAGAAAAAAAAAGGGAGGGAAATACATGCTGCAAAGTTGTATCAATGTGGAATGTGAAACAGATCTATTAGAAGGTAAGATTAGCAAGTTAAATAAAATAAAAGCCTCCTGGTCAGAGTATGGACAGCTGAGAGCTGAGAATATACTCTAGTAACCTCCACAGCCATGCTGCCTTCTGTGGTCTTTATTTGTTACAGTGGCGACTTGAATTTCAGTTAAACATTCAATTCCTCAGTCACACTGGCTTTATTTCAAGTGCTTGGTGGATCCATGTGCTACCTTGATGTGCTAGACAGAACAGACACAGAACACTTCCACAACTACAAGAAATGCTGGTGGACAGAAGAGATATTAATTGGCCTGGAGTCTGGGAAAAGAGGAACTATTACGAAGGGAATCTGCTCTACAACACTGAGTAACTTAGCCAAGGATTAGATGGATTTACCTTTTCTTTTCCACCTGCTCTTTTTCCCCTCCTTGTTGCTGCCACCATCACTGCTGCTGCTGCTGTTCTCGGAGCTCTGGGAATCGGACTGACCATCGCTGCTCTCTTCGGAACCTTCTGATAGCTCCTTCACCCCATCCGGCACATCTTTCTGAAAATGCAGGCATCTGATTAGAATTAGCCATTACTATTTTAGCAAACATGAATTCAATTTCTGAAATGTATTGTTGCAATCTAAATATGCTGATTACTTTTTAGTATTGGGAGGGTGGAGGGACAGCACAGGAGGGGAAGGCCCTCTATGAGGTGGACTGACTCAGTGACTGGGGTAATCGGGTTGGGTGTGTTGGAGTCAGTGTGATTGGCACAGGACAGAGCCGGGTTTAGGGCTGTTGTACATAGGGTCACTATGAGTCACAAGTGACTTGATGGCACATAACAACAACAACCACATTATTCAATTCAGAACCAAAAGATCTTTTGAAATCCTGTCATTTTGGTTTCTTTAAGTAAAATTAGCTAATCATTTACACTCAAACATAAAAATAACAGAAGATGTTCATGTGCAAGCACAAAAGCACTGGCTTTAATTAGACAAAAACTGGATAGCTAGATGTTAAAAGTCCAGCTAAATCATAAAATGTTGATAACAATTAACAATTTTCTAAAGACCACTACTATGACAGTTTTACAAAATGTATGTACATTCATATTTAACCATGTAGTATTGTTGTTAGGCACCATCAAGTCGAGTATGGCTCATAGTGACTTTATGAACAAAAGATCTGAACCTTGTTTTATCCTGCGCCATCCTCACAATTCCTGACACACAAGACCATTGCAGCAGTCACTGTGACAATCCACCTGGTTAAAAGTCTTCCTCTCCTTTGCCGACCCTTCACCCTTCCTAGCGTCATGTCCTTCTCCAAGGAATGCACCTCTTAGTAATATGCCCAAAGTATGTGAGATGAAACCTCATCACTCTTGCCTCCAAAGAGCATTCCGGCTGCCCCTCTCCAAGATAATATCAGTTTGTTCTCTTGGCCGTCCATGGGACGTTCAGTGCTCTTCTCTAACACCATAGCTCGAAGGTGTCAATTACTTTTCTGTCATCCTATTCACCGTCTAGTACTCAGATGCATAACAAGTAATCAAAAAGACTATTGTCTGAATCATACACACCATAGTCCTCAAACTGACATCATTACTACTCAATAATCTGAGAGGTCCATAACTGCAGATTTTCCCAATGCAATGTGTCTTCCTATTTCCTGACTGCTGGTACCAAGGGGTTAATTGTGGATCCAAGCAAGAACTTGCTGACAGTTTCAATCTCCTCTCCATCCATCATGATGTTTCCTATTGGTCCAGTGGTAAGAATTTTTGTTTTCTTGACATTGAGATGCTGCTATCTATACCAATGGCTGCATTCCTTGAAATTCTGCAACAAGTGCTTCAAGTTTTCCTCACTTTCAGTAAGTAAGGTTGTGTCATTTGCTAACATAGGTTATTGATGAGGCCCTCCAAAACTGATGCCACACTCTTCCTTCATAGAGTCCAGCTTCTATATGTACAGAATTATCATTATACATTATGAATTCATAGAGTCTGGATAGTGAGAAACAGGGAATAACTTAAAAGACTCAACAAAAACACAACAAAAAATTCTTTGGTTTTTGCACTGGGACTGTGAAAATGCTAATCAGAAGGGAAACTCTATCAACATAAAAAACTCAACTCATTGCCATTGGGTTGGAACAAACTCAGCTGACCCTCCAAAAGGTTTTTAGAGGCCGTAAATCCCACAGGAGGTTGCCCATCGTCCTCCTACAGAGCAGGATTTGGACTGTGTCGGCGTGGATTGGCAGTGCAACTCATTCTTTCCAGTGGGCCACCAGAGTTCCTTCAACACAGTATATGAAGGAAACAACAGGGTGGTTACAAGATCAAGTACTAGGAAATCAAGGTTTCTTGGGTTTGAATTCTGGCAACCTAATTGTGCAGCCTTAGACAAAGGTTAACTTTTCCTGCTCATTTTCCCTTTCTAAAAAAATTGAGGTGCTAATACCACCTTAGGGAGCTTCACAGAATAAAGAGGGGCAATCTCTTCTGTGATTTTAAAAACTGCTGCTGAAAGCCCTCTGGAGGGTAAACTATGAGTTAGTGTTCCGACTTGATGGTTCATTACAACAACAGTAACACCTACCTCAAAAGACCATTTTAAAATTGAGTTACTAAATGTGAAATGCTTAAAATACTTCCTGTATCTAACAAGGACTCAATACATAAATAAATATTGTTACTTATGTAGCAAAACATCTCTCTTCTTTCTACATATATGGATTTGAATCCATCAGCTACTCCTGGGAGAAGAAAGAGCACCCTCCTCCTATGTGATTACTCCTGAAAATCCACTGGAAGATCAGTTATGGGTTGGTTCTAACCTGATGGTACACACCACCATCACTACCACCACACACATAAACCACTGTTATAAATCATAAAATTAAAGAGGATTCTTTTCAACACTTTATTTCCCCCAGAACACCTTATCATCAGATAAAAAATAATTTTAACAGACAAAATGTGACCCTACAACTGGCACCTCATATCAATCTTATGCTCTGTCAATAACACTTATTTTACCTGTACGTCCTATTATAATTTTCTCAAGTGATCTCTTATATCAAACATGTTCTTTAAATATCTATCTGCTGTTTTTCTGTTGCTTTATTGAGTATGTAGGCAAGTGCTTCTTATGTTAGTTAACTACCCACAAGACATCCTGACCTCTAGGTTTAACTAAGTCTGTTAAAACAAATATAATTATCTTCTTTTCCTAAACTTGTTATCTCTCCAAGATCCAAGAGCTTCAAGTTTTAAAATAATTTTATCTTCTTTCCCTCCTCTAAATGCTGTACTGGGCAAGCTCCTCTGTCTGAAACCTGCTCCAGGGTCAGGCATGAGTTGGTACGGAGTTTGATTGTGTGTGTGGGTTTGTGGTTTTTTTTTTAGTTAAATGGTTTGTATTTTATTTCTTTAATGGAGGTCCCATGTATCCCTCTCTTGTATCACTTCCATAGTTTAATCCTAGCTTACTGTTTTCTTCCAAACCGTAAGAAACTTTTTTGTGAGTTTCTTAATTTACAAATAGAATCTATTTAAATCATCTTCTTAAACATGTATTAATCATGCTGTCCATCACAAACACTCAAGTTTTCCAAGGCCTGCCAAACTTAATCTTTACACAGTGTTCACCTCAGAGATTACCTTCTAAGTGAAGTAACACTTCAGTTTATTTTTAATTCCATAAGATGTCTTCATATACTTTTGTTCAGGATGTTATGTGCCGTCGAGTTGCCTGCGACTCATCATGACCCTATGTACAACAGCTCTAAACCCTGCTCTATCCTGTGCCAATCTCACTGTCTCCAACACACCTACCTCGATTACCCCAGTTACTGAACCAATCCATCTCATAAAGGGTCTTCCTCTCCTGCACTGTCCCTTGACCCTCCCAAGCATGGCGTCCTTCTCCAAGGACTGGACCCTTCTTGCAAAATGTCCAAAGTATGTCAGACGAAGCTTCAGAATCCCTGTCTCCAAGGAGCAGCCTGGATTCACCCTCTCTATGACAAACCTGTTCATTTTCTTAACAGTTCATGGTATAATTAATACTCTTCTCTAACACCATAGCTGAAAGGCATCATACTCCTTCTATCATCCCTATTTATTGTACAGGTCTCTGATGCACAGCAAGTGACTGCAAAGACGATAGACTGTATCAGGCGCACCTTAGTCCCCAGAGTGACACACCACTATTCAAGATAGTCTTTTTTTCTTTCTTTAACCAAGAGACTGTTTTAAACCTTATACTTAAAAACCAAACTCTCTTTCTTATTGCTAGGTATCGCTGAATCAGAAGTGACTCACGGGAGGATCCAAGATGGCGGCGGAGACAGAGACAATGTGGTGAGCTGCGGGAGCAGCGGACCACTTGGAACAGGGCCACTATGGCCTTCTACAGACTTCTGTTTATTGATAATTGAACAGTTAAACAGCTGATGACTGGTCTTCAGTGAGGATTGAGGCTCAACAACAGGAATTCAAGGATTCCCAAGGAAGAATGGGTGAGTCCTGCAGCTCCCAACCCCCTCCCGCAGAGCCCACACTGCACCTCACCACAGCCGCAGCTCCATGAAGCTCCCACAGCCGAACCTAAGGAATCCCTCGCCCAGGATGGAGAGTGGGCACCAGGCCTCCCCAGGACTGGTGCAGCAGAGCCGCCACACTGCAGCAAAGTGGACTTGTTCTGGGGAGAATTCTTGGAGCCAAGATGGTGGCGGCAGGGGAAGCGGGCGGCCACTGGCCTCCCCCGTGCGAGATGAAGCGCGACCGCCAGCCGGCCGTATGGGAGATGACACGTGGGAGATGGCTTGCGCCCGCCGGCCACCCACATGGAAGATGGCACTTGCCCGGCAGCCACCCGCGTGGGTGGATGGCGCGCGCCCGCCGACCACCTGCGCGCGAGATGGTGTGCAACTGCCAGTCGCCTGTGTGGGAGATGACACTTGCGAGATGGTGCGCGCCCGCCAGCTGCCCGCGCTGGGGGATGGCGCGTGACCACCAGTCGCCCTTGTGGGAGATGGCACGCCCACTGGATGCCTGTGCTGGGGGATGGTGTGCACCTGCCGGCTGCCTGCGCACGAGATGACACGCTCCCACAGGCCGCCTGCAATGGGGGATGGCGCCCACAGGCCGCCCGCATGGGAGATGACATGCGGGAGATGGCAAGCACCACCAGTCACCCTGCTCGAGGATGGTGCATGCTGACCGGCCGGCCGCCCGCACGGAAGATACGACACGACGTGCGCCCCGCCACCCAAGGGGGGGATGTGCGCCCCGCCGCCTGCAGGTTTGGGTTTCCTTGGAAAACCAGAAAAGATGATCACCTAGACAATGGATTGTTGAAAGTCACTGTGAGTAGTCTACTTGATAACACTTAACAGTGGCAGCATGTCCAAGAGGACTGACATCCTAAATGCACCACATATTTTGATCTGTTGAATGCTTCTGCCAAAAGATGTTTAGACCTGGGGGGAGCCTGTTCACAATTTTCAGGTTCTCTTTGCCATTTATAAAGGGGGAGGG